GCCGACGGTGCAGGGGAGGAGTCAGCTATTACAGGAAACCGAGCTCTCCTCTCTGCACCACTCGCTCAGCTTCCTGTGGCAGCGAGTCAGGATGGAGAGCGAGTACAAGCACTCAGCGATCAGTGATTGCTGACTGCTTGTAAATAATTGAGGACATAGTATGTGTACTGTGTCCCCAATTATAAATGAATGGGAAGTGATTTACAGTGCATCACTTCCTGTTCATTCATGATTGAGGACATGGTAAACACAATCCCCACTAGTTATGAATGAACAGGAACACATATAAGCTTCCTGTTCATTTATAACGGGGGCTGCAGAAAAAGAGATTGAGGACTCTGTGTTCTTAATCCCTTTTTCCATTTTTAAAAGGGAAATATCAGGGGTCTGTTTAGACCCCTAATATTTCCGCTAATATTTAACCCTTTCGCTGCCAAGGACGTACGTCGTACGGAGCTACAAAAGTGCTTCCAGCTGGCCAGCTCAGTACGTCGTACGGACCTGGCATTTACAGATAAATAAAAATAAAATATATTAACATTTTAAAGTTTATAAAAAAAAGGAAAAATAAAATATTTAAAAAAATATTTTCGGCTTGACGTATTTTTTTTTTAAATTTTCAGTTTTAAAAATGTCATTTCGGTGCACCTCTACTTTTGTGTCATAAAAATTTGCTCATGGTAAATGTCTTGCAACTTCACTTTTTTAAATGTTGGCCCTTGGTGGGTTTTAAAGTCCAATTGCACTATCTTGGCATGCTTATGTTCAGTCAACGAAATTGGACTATAAATGTAACTGAATACAGTATTGTTGTTCCTTCCTGGTCAGCTTGTGTGCTAATGCAAGAGAGAGAGAGAGAGTGTGTGTGTGTGTGTGTGTGTGTGTGTGTTTTTTTTTTTTCAGGAGCAGAGACCCTTTTTTATTTATTTTTTACAGCATTTTTGTTCCAGACCTTTAACTCATTTTCGTGTATGGCACTGTCAGATATTTTACCATAAGGTGGTAAGACTATTGATAACCCTTCTTCTTTTTTTTTACCTTCTACGACTTATACAGGAAAGAGTCTTCTCTGGCTGCACAGCTGGTATTAACCTGCTTTTTCCAAGTACATTAGCCAGGGTTGGCTCAGAAAGTCAGGTTTTTGTCTGATTTGTTAGCTGGGTGGAGCATCATGGGAAATGTAGTTTGGCAGCAGATGGATTGCCAGAGGTTTGCCCATTACTGATTTAAAGGCTTAAAGCCGATCAGCAGCCTTTTAAATGTGCAGTTGAACTTTACACGCAGCTTGTTTTTCACACGTTCTGTCGATCATTAATTCTCTTTATAAATAGTCTTTTACTGAAACCTACCGTGTGTTATATTTACACACCATCAACTCGTGATATGATTTTTGTGGGACTGATCTGTCTTCATACTAAAATTTAATAAATATTGGGAAGTACCGAATGACACTGACCTCATTTCCTTTATAACAATGAAAATTAATAGTTTCACGTTTTATGAGGCTGATAGTCCAGATGTAGTGTACATTTAATTAAGTGTAGTTTCCTCTCGGTTATGGTATGTGTATCTGCTTTTTGTTGCAATTTCTTTCTAGTTTTACAATTTTCCACATGTTTTCCTTCATCATTTATGATTTTTTTCAAAGAGCAGCTATGAGGATTTAAATCACTTTAGCATGCAGCAAAACAGTACCCATTCAAACAATAAACGCCATTTTAAAAAGCCTTTAGATCTTCTGTCACTTCATAAATAAAAATGTATAAAACATTATGCAGTTGTAGTGCCCACCTGCTAATTAAATGCAGATTTTCTCAAACTTATTTTCAAATCTGCTTTTTTTTTGTTTCAACTCTGTCTGTGCGGAGCATACATATGGCTCTTGTGAAATTAATTATGCTTATGGAGCAGCTGTTAAATTTAGTGCAACTAATTTTATCCAATATTTTACATTTTAATTGATTACCTGTGAAGAAATTAGCAAATTAACACATATTATCCACTAAGTAAGTAAGCTTTTATGGGTAGGTTTAGATGTTTGGCTAATTTTTGGTAACCTTTCTGTATATATACGTGTGTGTAACTTTATTTGTTTCACAACCTGGCTAGGTGTTGATCGAATAAAGACAGGGCTTTTGGTCTGTCACATAGGGAAGATATTGGAGAACCTTCATTATCTGGTGGGAGGCTCGGAGAAGGGTGCGAGCCAAGCATCTGTGTGTTCTGTAAGTCCCGACATGAGAAGCAGATTGGAACGTAATGACTCTTTCACAGAATTTTTGTAACATATGGGCCTATCTGGATCTGAGAAGGCTTTGAAGATCTTTCAACTTGACTAAGTGACTTAACCTTTGCCATAGTAGTGGGTCTTTTTACGGCAACCCACTTTTCAATTAATCTGTTCTGTTTTTTTTAAATATTTTATTATTAAATTACCAGATATATTTTTTTATATTAAATTATTTTAATATGGTTAAGCAGTATTTTATTCATGTATGTTCAAAAATCATTTTAAATCAGTTTAAAATGTAATTTAACTGATAAATATGGTCCAAAGAATTGTTTTGAATTTGTTTCAGATTTCTCTTTTATATGCATCCTATAATGCATGTAGGATATTTTCTGTGATGCATTTTGTGTTTTTATGCTTTAATTTTGATATTGATACTGGGAAACATACAATGTCTAATTAAGGTTAGTACATGTTGTTATGTTACTGGCAATCTATCTTGACACACAAAGAGGGGAATTTATCAACACTGGAGCAGACAAAATCTGCAGCAACTGTGCATGGCAACCAATCAGCTTCTCTCTTTCATTTTCAAATCTTAACTAAACAAACTGAAGAGAGAAGCTGATTGGTTGTCCTGGGCAAATGCTCCAGATTCGGTCTCCTCCAGTTATGATAAATTCCCCTCAAAGTGATTAAAATATGTCATTGTGACATGCTGTTGATTTCCAAATCCAGCCCCCTTTCTGCTTATTGCAAAGCACAGAGTACTGGGTATTGCAGATGTCAAAAATAAATAGGAGATAAACAATTTAACTTCTGTCTTTATTAAGACAGGTTCATAAGTTGACACACTTATTTTTAACCTTTCTAGCAAATTTTTATACACCTTTAAAGCCACGGAGCGTCTAATTTATTTTTTATCCATCAGTGGGAAAATATGTTTTTCATTGATTCTTTAAGGTTCACTCACAGGTGTGTAGCTAGCAAACAAATCAGCAGTCTATTTACTACACATTACACCATTATTCATTACAAACTACAAGAACCCACTACTGATGCAGCTTATCAATGCAGCAAAAGCTTGCATACATGTATTGTGGAAAATAATTTAACCTCCTAATAAGATGCAGTGGTCCATTAGAATACAAGATGCCAGAAGTGGATCTCTGCATCAGCTTCTTTGGGGGTCCCTATGTGACATTAGGGGTCTTGGAGACCCCTGATTCCCTTATGAGGACCGGTCACATCCTCTTTGCTATCACAACAATATAGTTAAGTGAAAAAAAATTTAAGTTGCAAAAAAAAAAGAAAAATGTTAAGTCACACATGAAAAAGAATTAAAAAAACCCAATGTTTTTAATGTCCCCACCTATACATACACGCATGCGTCGGGTGCGCATACGTACGAAAACGATGATTACGCCACACATGTTACATATCGCTGCGAACGTCGCAGTGAGAGCAATAATTATAGGGCCATCAATCGCTGATCACACTAAACTGATGAGCGGTAAAAGTTTTTAAAGCGTTGCCTATAGTCAATTTTGGGTATACAATTTTTTTGCGATTTGGCGAGTGCGCGCAATTTTAAAGCTCGACATGTTTGGTGTCTATTTACCCGACGTGACCCCATCTTTTATATTTCACCAAACAATTGGGTAACAATAATTGTATTATAACATAATATTTAAAAAAAACCCAGTGGTGATTAAATACCACCAAACGAAAGCTCTATCTCTCCCCAAAAAATGGTCTAAAATTAATTTCAGTACATCGTTGCATGGCTGAATAAATGTCAGTCAAATTACCGCAGCGCTGAATACTGAAAAATGGCCTGGGCAGGAGGTGGGTGTAAACACCTTATCAGCAATTTGTTGATGTCTGTGTCCATGGAAAGCCTTCTGACTCAGAAAATCCCTTGTTTGGATGTCTGTCCTAAAGTAGGAAATAGTAGGAAGAAACTGCTGTGGTCCTGATGGGTTCAAGCTTAATATTTTTGACAGTACTTACCATGTGTTTAATACAATATCTCATTTACTACATTTTTTTTCTTTTATTTTTTGTAAGATTTCCCATTTCAATGTTCATGGCTCATCTGATCCTTTTGCCCTAAACATTTTTTTTCACATGCTTGATGCCATAGGTCATTTTCATACATTTGGAGTCCCTGTGTTTACCGGTATAATTGTTTAAACTTATTTTAACATTTGCTTAAAGTTTTCAATAATTAAAGTCCACTGATAATCTCTAGATTCTGCCACTTGTGTCCCTTTTTCCTGTAATAAAAACAATCTAAATATCAGTTGGCAAAAGTAGCAGCAGGTAGCTTAGAACTAGTAGTGCACATCTCTTGATGCAGAATCTGTAACTCTGGCAGCAAATGGAGCTTCTCAAACCAGCTAAACAAATAAAAAGATTGCCTGGATCTGTTGAGAAGTTGATTAGGGATTGGGCATTGCATAATGAGAGGCGAGCCAGAAGCATGCCCAAACTCTTCTGTGGGCTACTGGAAAAACTACAGGGTGCTTTTAGTGGTGTTTAGGTGAAATATTCTGCAGCAAGCGGTATTTCCTTTTTATAATTACCCTCCCAACTACCTGCTGCTACTGTAATTTTTTTTATTGTAGTTTATTTGCAAGTTGCTTGAACATTATCATAATGAATATAAAGTACAGGTGGTACCGAAGCGTCAAAAGGATGATGATGTGTAGAAATTACTTGATAAAGCTTGGGAAGCACTGACTTATGCTCTTTCTGGTTTGAACAGATCTCGATCAAGACACCGTCAAAGATCTCGCAGCCGTAGTAGTGATCGATCCAGTCTGAGAAGATCCCGAAGCAAATCCTATGACCGAGATAGAGGAAAAGGCAGATCGAAGGTGAAATCAAGAGGGAATGAGAGACTAAAACAAAAGGAGTCTGTTTCCAAACCTGGGTAGGTCTTGCAAGTTAAAGCTGAACATAGCCATTTTAAGTTACCCATCACAAACCAGTTACACAACCATTGCAAGTGGGGTAAAGCAAAAAATACATCAAAAGGACATGCCTTGCAGCTGATACATTTGGCAGTTTAAATTTGAGAAAACACCGCTGTGTTTATGTGTTCCTATTTGCACTGCATACCTTTTTAAAAAAAATATCTTTTTAAATGTCTTACTTTTTTGCATGTGTCTGTGTAGCCAGCCTTTGCAAGCTTCTCTTTCATTTGTCCCCATAGAAAGACTAGGGACACTCTGAGCTTTCTCAGAGTGTCCCTAACATACAATTGTTCTAGATCTTTAACCCTGTATTAGGGAAGACATTGTTTAAATATAGTTTACAACTGATAATAAGATCTCCCAACACAGTACAGACAGGGTTAATTATGTTAACATTAACCTCATCAGTCTCTGTGCATTCCAGAGGGAAATTCAAAATAGAGAAAAACATTTCTTTCATATTAGAACATGTAATATGGAAGCAGAATTTATTATTATTATTATTTTTTAAAGTTACGCTGTGTGAATATAAAATGTGTTTTCCCTATGTGGCTGCAAAAAAGCGTCAGCCAGCTGCAAAAGTGGAAATACACTTGTAGTGCGGCTGTACTGCATCCTTAGCTTTAGTCTTGCAAAGTTGTACAGGCTTTTCTCCTGTGTAGAAATTGTTTGCTATGATATCACTGCACATTGCTAGATTCAGTGTGCATTAGAAGCCCGCTATATGCTGAGTTTTGGGTCACAGGAGGACACCGTGGAGCCTGAGGAGAACTTTGGGGAAAAAAAAAATGGCCCATAGTTCACCTTTAAGTTAGGGTTTCTGAGAGAACAGAAGTGGTTACCTCTTATGTTTGTCTAAATTCTGTATAACTTTGTGGGTTTTTTTTCTCATGCAAAAGCAGGGAAGGTCAACAGCTAAGTGGCCCTCTTGTTTTGCTCATTGGAGTCTTTGGTTTGAATTCCAAGATGGACACAACATAGTGTGTTTTGAATGTTCTACCCATGTCTGCTTGTTTTTTTTCTGGGTGTTCCAATTTCCTCCCTCAGCTCAATAATGTAATTGTTTCTTGATTGGTATCAGACCAAACTGGCCTTAAATATTTTGTGTAATAGGAACTAAAGATTGTAAGTTTCTTGGATAATGGGGACTGAAATGAACAATTCTTTGTACTCTATAAAGCACTACACAATGTTGCACCATGTACTTATGGGGGAAAACAAAATAAAAAGAAGTTAAGCAGCAGATATACAGTCTTAAATATACAGTAAGCATCGGGTAGTGTTTTGGTCCCAAAAAATGCTACCACTTTAAAGTTCTGGTACCCAATGCTGACTGGACAGAATTTCCAGCATTCTTTGATTTGAAGTGTGGAATAATATGCAACTGATCCTATTTTGGAGAGCACATAGATTGCTACTCCTTGCACAATGACACAGAATAGGGGACTTTTGGACTTATTTCTTGACCACCAGTAGCAGGAGAACTTTGTTGAGGGTAAAAAAAATCTCTTCTCATTTGTACTTTATTCTAAAGTTAACAAAAATAAGTGTGTAATAAATGAGTTAGTCTTTTCTGCGCGTCTACAGTTCTATGCTTGCAATATTATCCTGTTTGGTTAGAAATTATAGGGGGCAATAGGCCTCCCTGTCCTTCCTTTCATTTCTCTGGCCAGAATGTAACAGAATTTGAAAATTGCAGTATTTATTATATATTCCTACACTGTCATTCTGTAATTACTTTTTGGAACTAATAGGAGATGGGCAGTGCAATGATAACATTCTATTCATGTTCCTTAGTTGAAGCATGAGGATCCTTTTCTATTTACCAAACTAGACATGTCCAGCTTGTGGCCTGCTAAAAGTTTGAGGATGGTAGTGGAAGGATAGGAGATGTGACTGTGGCTCCAGGCAGAGAGTTAGAGGGGGTGGGCAGGCTTCATAGTCACCCAGTTTTCAGGCGACTACTGTGACAGGTGGTAAGCTATTATTTTGAAGTTGGCAAATTTGAGTTGAAGGTGGTACACACAATGGCGAATTTGAACCAAAGAAGGCTGTGGGTTCAGGCAGCCTAGAATTTGAGCTGTGGAAGGTGGTGGGCATGAACAGCAGTAATTTTCTACGTAAAAGCTTTTCTAACAAGTTTTCCTAAGCTGCACACATCCACTCTGGCACCTTTAGCGGCTATCCACTGTTTTCACTTTAACTGAGTTTTAGCAGGACTGTATCTGGGCCCTACTGGAAGGAAAATGCAGGGTTGGCCTGTAATGTCGTCATGGCACTAGATCCTGCATAAGACACTCACCTTTGCAGTTATTGCAGTGTATAGGGTAGCATTGGTGCTATAGGACCATAGTCCATCTGCCATTAAAGTCCTGCCCCTGGAGGAGGGCAAAGATTGGCTGGGGCATGCTTCACCCCTCCGGATGAGAACACATCTAAGGTACAATGTAAACCAGGACTTCACCCCTTCAAAGTGCCCAGTACGTCTGCTCCAGTCTCTGAGGGTTTGGTATTGGGAATTAGCAGGGACAGCTGCCCCTTTGAATTTGGTGCCATTTTTTCTTCTCACATTGGTGGCAAGTGGCTGCTTCTGTGCCTTCACATTGTTCCTCAGGGGTGATCTACTGTGCATTTGCCCACCATTTTCTTTCTCCTGACACAAAATTTGAGTTGTTCACGCACTGCTGCAATTTTGCACAAAACTGAACAGGGAGGAAAAACTCCACTGTACACCATAAGATCTGGATCACCATTCTGCCTGCAAGTGTCTGGACACAGAGCAACCTCCAATCTCTGCAATCGTGAGTACTTTGGGGCCTACTGTCGGCATATGGCAGATCAAGATTCCTGGGGTTCCAAAAGTTCCGTATGAAATCTACTTGATGTCAGAGCACAATGAAAACCAGACAAGCAAAAGGTGCTAGTTAAATCATGTATTAAGAACAGTGTCCACAAGAGCAAGCAGAATCATAAACCGGAACCAGCCAAAGTCAGGAGCCGGAATGGGTAGTTGTTCAAGCCAGGTCAGGAACACGGAGATTAGCGTCATCAGAAACAAGCCAGGAAATCAGCATTGTCACGAACAAGCCACCAGGAGCAGGAGCCAGAGGAGAACGTCAGCCAGGATCTTGTCATACACAGAATCAGGATACTCGGAGCAGCAGGAATGCATTAGCAGTAAGACCGCGCAAGGGCAAGGTCAGACTGGACTGAGTGGTTTATATATAGTGAGTGGGGAGACATCATCACTCAGAGACAGGAAACTCCCATCTGACTCAGATGATGTCTGAGAAGATCCCAATTTTTCCTGCTCACCGGCACAACTTGCATTTTGCTGTGGCCACGCAACACTACCTGTTTGTGCCTCTTCCATTTGGCCAGTCCTTTGCACTTTAGGATTTCATTAAGGTGCTGGTCCCTGTTTTGGCTCTCCTTTGATCTCAAAGGAACACCATAGTGGGTTACTTAAACAACCTTCTCTTCAGAGAACAGTCAGCAGAAGCCATATTGTCGAAGGATAGACCCTTCTACCCCACCTAAATGGTAGGTTAGCTAGCAAAATATTGTTTCAGCCTAGGCATGTATATGTAAACTCCTGGAGCTGTCGCTGTATCCGAGCACTGCCTAAGTCAAAGGTAGAAACATGGACATGCTAACAGGCTGAGTAAGCTTTCTGTACTTGCTACAGCATAGAATGATCTCGTGTGATGGCTAGTTGCCGTAGAAGGACCTACAAAAATATTGTGTAGGGGGAGCAGGTGTTGGGCAGCATCAAAGGGACCCATTCAATATATATTTTTAATTCTGAAAAAAATAGAGGAAACTACCCATCTAATGAAAGAGCAAATTAAATTTGTGCATGCCCGCTGTCACTGTAACAGGAAAGCATTACACAGTACATTTAAGGAAAATAGAAATAAATACACAAAACCGTACTAAGACTGCATCTTGTGATTTTATTAAAGGGTTTGTGTTATAACTGTATCCTTGATATCAGCATAACTTTATAGTAGCCATCCTTTAACCCAATCATGTGCAATTAAAAGGTAATTCCAGGTTGAACCATGTTGCTTAAAAAAGTAAAGTGGCAACTTATTCTTTGTAAGCAAAGTGTGTAATAAAGCAAACATTATTGTAAGAATGTAAAATAAATGATTACAGACCTAATCTGTTTTTATTTTTTTTTACCCATCCACTTTAAGTGGATGATTCTTTCTAAGGTAATTTAAATCAGTTACCAGAGCAGCTTGATTGATTATAGCACCCCCCCCTTCCTGTGAGTGATATCCTGATGATCAATGAGAAAGACACATGGGTTTGCTTAAGCTGTCTGCCCTCCTATGTGCAGGAAGAATGTAAGCACTGGGTTTCGGGTTAGTTGCATTCAGAATATAGACTAATAAGCCGCTTTCTGCAGAATGTGGAAACTTTTGTATTATTAAGAGGTTCTGGAAAAACAAAATATAGCTACCAGTAAAATAGATGCCCCCTTTAAGGTTTACTTTATGCATATGAAAAGTATGTATACTGTACACCTAAGAAAAGAACTCTGAAAGTTTCCATTAACAGCTTATATTTCCGGTGTGCAATGTCCGTTTATTTTTTTTTTTTAATGCCAGGTATAGTTAGTATAATTTGCTTTGTCAATACTGATCATCTATCAAATAAATGATAATGATGTTCTTCTGAGCTTCTACTCCTTACAGGCTGTGACAGTACTCTTCATTTTTCAGTTATTGCTGATGATCATGACTAGTGCAGCCTTCAGCATACAAATCTGACTAAGAGCTCGCTATCTGAAACTTCTGATGGAGTATACATATTTTAAGGCAGCAGCTTCCACACAAAATCTGTGCAAGGTTCTTCTCTTTCTTTGGATATGAAGTTTGATTTAAGCCAGATTGGAGAACTTGTATCATGGTAATGTGGATGTTACTCATTTTAAACATAGAGGTAT